GTCTCTTGAGCCTATGACAATCCAGTCTACTGCTACATTATATTTGCTGGGATTTACATGTGATTTGCCAAACTGACATGCATGCACATGTGTGGTCTGACAACCCACATGCCATTACGTCGAAGTACACACTTAAAAATTTATGACAAGTCTCTGAAGATGCACAAAAGCTCTGCTGATGGCAATCTTGACAATCATGCATGATGCCGTATACACACCCATATTATGTATGTAAATATATCTCATGTTCAAAGAATGTACATGTACATGTACATGTTAAACTATTAGCCAAAGGCCAATGGTTTCCAATACCAGACTACATGTACATAAATATTATCTGTATGTTGAACCACACATGTACATGTACATGTGTATGTACATGTGTATGTACAATAATACTACATGTACATGTACATGTAATAATAATCCAGATAAATTGTGTGCGAATCCACCCTGCTGGATGCTCAAGGTGCACCATTATCATTATCCCTGCACATTGGCCTCACAACAACTGAACATTCCTCAAACTATCTCAGCTCCCAGAGGAGCATACTAGCTGATGTTGCCTTATCCGGCACACGTGGCTAAACCAAATTTGCCCTCACAAGAAAGAGGCACGTGGGGGTAACGTGACTTGCCCAAGATCGCAGCATGCTGCCACCAGCTGGATTCGAACCCCCAATCCTATGATCAGAAACTACAAACCCTAACCGCAAGCCCTTTTGTAATTGGTACCGTCCTAACTATGACTACAGCACTACAGTTGGGCCAGTTCAACCATGATACAATGTACATTGTAAGGTATAGTGTGCCAGTGAATGCAAGAGCGTGTGCCATTCTCATTTCCTACATTTATGTATCAGCTACACGTGCTGGCAAAATCCAGTTTCAGTTTGTGTCATGGATTAAATACTTGGTTGGCACACATGTGTTTTTGATGAATTCTGCCAGGGGTGAGTCTCCAAAACTCAGCGAATGTCGAGAAGGTTTTTATTGGAATTTGTCGACTCTAGTTGGGCCAACCCAACTGCAGTGATGTTATACTGGTACATGTACACGTAGTTGGGTGCAACATGGACACATTTGTTCAACATTACCGTACATGTACACAAACGGAATCCCTTGGATTTTCTCCAAACAGAAATTAAGGTTCCCGATTTTCCCCTTGTAAATTAGACAGTTCGCAAGTACAGGGTACCAATACATACAGTGTACATGTACCGGTACATGTATGTTAATGTTAGTCCTTGTACCAGCAATACACGGTACATGCATGTACTGTACATCGATAAACAGACTGTCCAATGTCTAAGAATTCTCAAATCCAATACATTGATATCCATGCACATAGTAAATGTACACGTTGTACATGTACAACCATACATGTATGGTATCACAGTATCCTGTTTCAGCACAATCCATGTAGCAAGCATGGGTTACCTACTTCCTCAAGAACAAAAGGTTATCAGTGTAATCCACGGTACTATCATGACTATATACATGTACATTGTATATTTGTACAATTCGTCTGTATTTACATGTATCTTGGGTGTTTCACTGATGAAATTCAAGTGTGCGTAATGTACAGTGTATAATCTACAAGGTGCAGGAGCGACTATTAATCAAGCTTCTGACTGTATGATTACATATGAGACTTTTCACCTCTAGCTATCAGGCATGCTGTGCACAAACACTATTGTAGTTCGTGCATGTACAGGGACGTGTTTTGGCAACCCCTAACCAGAAATCTGTTAGTGACGTCAAAGCAATAACCAAGAACATGTCACTGTAATGATGGCCCTCAAAAATGAAGAACCAGAAACGCTTATGTCATCTGACAGAGGCAAGTGCAAGGAAGCAGATGACTCTGTTGAGGAGCGTCATTTTCACTCAGTATTCGGCATGTTTCTCACCAGTGCTGCTCTCTCTTTTCACGGACGTTCTAGAAGAAAGTACCTCTTTGCTACGCTGCACGTCACAACAAATTTTGAAATGTATAGTTCACTCATTTGAGGGGCCACAAAAATTGTTTATTTTCCACAATTTTGAAGCAGCGCTGAACCAACTCAAACCTCTGGTTCATGTTCAGTCAGAACAGTGACATCACGGTGGTATAACCAAAATACTTAACCAACCACCAAACCATTGACCAAACACGTTCATGGTTTGGGTAGTGAAAACTTGCCCAAATACTCTGCAGAGTTTGGGCAACTTTCATGTGAATGTGTGAAAACCTGCAGCATGTGCATGAGGGCCTGCCATGGGCACCATGTGCTAAACACCAATGCTAAAAAATGATGTCCATTGCTGTCACTTGGGCAAATCAATCTGCCTACACGAGATCTTCCCTATCAACATGACCGTACACAGACTCACACTAAACATGTCTTGGCTGGCTTGATATTATTTTTGTTTTGCACTGCACTGTGTAGGCCCTGCAGATTGGTCAGTCTTGTATGAAATCTCCTACTTTACTTCCTCTTTTCAAAGTATGTGTAACCATGCCGATCTTCAACAGCTGGGAGGACAAAAAACATGATAGACTGATGATGGCTGATGACTGACAGATGTCACACTGGCCAATAGCACAGCACAATCAAGTAATCATGTACAGGTTGATTTTGTGTTTTGCTTTGTTGTTTTTGTTTTGTTTTGTTTTGTTTTGTTTTGTTTTGTGGGAGTGGGTTTTTTTCATACACAGCAACATGGCAGAGAAAAAAGTGGTGGAGTAGGAAATCTTGCAAAGTGTAAAATTTGGCAAAAAACTTGATAAGTTTGTAACCTTGATGTAACATACTGCTAAGAGCTGATGCCAATTCAGGGGGTGTAAGTGGCCACTTAAAATTAAAGCTGCAAACAGCTAGCAAAAAGCTGAAATATAAAAAGTTCCCTTTTTTTTTACAGACCTGGTGCACAAAAAAGGTGAAATTCAGGTTCAACATCTAAACAAAAAAAGCCTAAAAATGCTAAAACGCTGAATTCTCACATCCCTGTTAGTTTGAAGATAGGCCTAGTAAATTTCCCAAAATTTGTAAGTATCTCATGACAGCCATGATGTATCTTCTTGGATTTTGGGTACAGATTGCTCTGTTGTCAGTCACTTTGTTTCTTTAATCCCCATACATGTACAAATTTGCAGTGATTGGTTGTGTCATGTGTTTGCACAATTCTGAAAGATTGGAAGTTCATTTTCTCACAGTTGTCTGTTTTAACATTTGGACATGAATGTTTAATGGCTACACCAATTACAATGCCAAAATGTTTCAATGGCCAGAAGAGGCATTCGGCCTACTACTTACTAGAGATCCAATTTTCTACAAGAAGTAGACAAGGTAGACAACACCACCACCAACAGGATAAAAGTTACAAGCAAAAATTTGAACCACGGAAAGTTATAAACGTGATGAATTTATCAACATAGGCCCTAGGCCTAGGTACTCAATAAATATTTTGGTGTAGGCCTGCGCAATTGAGCCTACCACACAATAACATTACTCCCACATTTCAACGGCAGACAGTTCTTTTATTATTTATTCCATCTACTTATAGCACACGACACTAATGAGTATCTTTGGAGTGAATCATAATTATAGACCATTCATACACGTTCTCTGCTTCATCATGTTCATGGCCACCGTCTGACCGTGTCCACGAAGGATGCCGGTCTTGGTCTTACCTGCAATTCTGCCCTTTCGACTTCCCACTGCGCCCTCTCCATCTCAAACCGTGCCCATTCATGTTGAATAAAATGTAATATTCCCGGTATTGTGTAGTTCAATCGTTGGTTATCGTCATGCTGTTTACTGGGTAAGCTGTTCATTACATTTGCATTGCCAGAATTGATCTGGTTTATGTTCGGCGGTGGACCTGTGTCGTTTTCCATCGTGCTCCGAAATATTTTCCCCCGTCACAGCGAAGTCGCCTCCATGTTGGTAGATTTTCGCACAGGGTGTGTGATAGAAAAACACGCGTTACATGCCGGCCATAGTTCTCTCCAACTGGGTTGTATCGATACGATAAATCCGACTCATATTTATCCAGTGTTATCCAGGTGTTGTCGGTTGGAGATTGTGCGGCCCGATCGAAGAAGGAAATAGTAAAAATTCCAAAGAATTCGAGGTTTAGTTTTCCAGGCGTCGTGATGGAGGACAAGATGTGACGTCAAATTGACAGGGCATAGCGAAATGTGATTAGGTTAACAAAAGAGGGCGCACTTTCAATTGCGAAATTTACCGCTGAAACAGCAGCCGATTTTTCCGTCACCCACTGGAGGTTAGGTCAGGTGCTTTTGGTGTATACGGTTTTCGGTTGGAGTTCCATACACGGACATTACTTAGCTTAGTTTCCCTTGATGTGTCCGTTTTTGGAGCTCTTTCTGGAACTGATAACATGACCTAAAAGCCTAATTTAGTATGGAAAATATTGACGCAGTCTTACCATTGCACAGGCCAACTAGGCCCATTTATAATTTAGCCTAGGTTTGTGTACAAGTGATGTCCGTGTCCCTTGTATGCACAGAGCAGCAAGGAGTGTAACTCTTATTAGGATGGGAGTGGCCACTTGATTCGCTTTGTCTGTAGAATGCACCATTCCGGGTGTCGGTCACTTTACCCAGTTTCCACTTCCCCCCTAACTTGCTTCGTCGTATTGCCACTTTGCCCCAGCTGTGCTTGATTGCATTTGGAAACTCGGGCTTAAACAAGGTGCATTTTTGTAAAGGTGGCATCATGGATTGACAACATGTGACAATGAAAAAAACAATTGAGATAACAAGTGCCTGTCTCACCATCGGGCCATTAATTTAGCAGTTATACGTGTAGTGTCTTGAAAGTTCATATAGGGTGAACTTTAGAGTAATTAGACAAACACAACTAACACATCACTGGGTGCTTGGTTAGAGATCATCTGCGACCAGCATCAGAGTAGTAACTATAGACTGCAGGGCTCAGCATCTGAGAAAATGCAATAGACACATAAATATCATTCAAAAGTCACAGTAATCGTAAAGTTCCGATAATCATCGATGAAACTGTTGCGCCCCAGCTATAGCATCAGTCCCAACTATAGTTGGGCCCGTCGCAACTAGAGTGCCACAGTCGGGCTGGCCCAAGTACAGCAGAGA